GGTCCCCCATGCCCGAAACCCCGGCTCCCCCCACCTCTCGTCCTCCACTGCATGGTCGAATGACGTGCAGGGCGCTTCTCTCTTGCTCCCACCTGCTTTTCCCCAACCCCACTCCCTTGCTCTCCACGCCCTCCTTCCTCTCTCCCAGTAGCTGCTGCCATCAGAGGCGGGTTGCCTGGACTGGAGGCGGAGGGATTGGTGCGCAGGAGAAACCTGACGCAGGCCGACACGTGATGCTCAAATCCTCCTTCCTTGCACTTCCCCCTCCCCTCTTCCCCCCAACCCACCCCACCCACCCACCCCCTTCAGTGGCTGCTGCCGTCAGTCGGAGGCGGGGTGCATGGAGGTAGAGGGAGTGGAGCGCACAAGCAACCTGTCCGGCATATGAGGGCAACCCCACACCCACCTGCACTCTCTCCCCTCCTCCTTCCCCGCCCACCATCCCCTCTCCCCCCCCCTCCCCCTTCCCCACCCACCACCCCCTCTCCCCCTCCCCCTTCCCCTTCCCCACCCACCACCCCCTCTCCCCCTCCCCCTTCCCCCCCCCCCCCCACCTCGTCTTCAACATCCCATGCCAGTGGCTGCTGCCGTCAGAAGCCGGGTACGTGGAGGCGGAGGGGGTGGAGCGCACGAGCAACGTGTCTCAGGCCGACATCGTGCAGCACGTGGGCGCCGCCAGCCGACGAGCTGCCTTCGACCTCAAGCTGCCAGGTGCGGGCGTGGTGGGATGCTGGTGGTGTGATGGTGGTGATGGGGGGGCGGGATGGTGGAAGGGGTGTGATGCATGGCAGGGGCTGGTAGGCACAGTGCAGTGCAGCAGCGCATGGGTCATTTGGGCACGTGTTTTGACCTTGAGCGGGTGGATGGTGTGGCCACGAGGGTGGTGTGGTGGGGGGGAGGTATGGATGGTACAACTCTCCAGCAATCCTCCCCAACTGCGTCCAACTCTCCTCATCCCCGTGCTTCTCTCCTCTCCCACTGCCACGCTCCCTGCTCTCTCAATACCGTACGTAACATAGGCCTTCTTGAACCAACTGTGTGTGATCACCTTATTACGTACCTTCTCAACTCAATCACTTCCCTCCAAACTCTGGCTCCTAACACAGGCAACCCTTGTTTGCGTTCACTCCTTTCTACCTTGCGTTCACTCCTTTCTACCTTGCGTTCACTCCTTTCTACCTTGCGTTCACTCCTTTCTACCTTGCGTTCACTCCTTTCTACCTTGCGTTCACTCCTTTCTACCTTGCGTTCACTCCTTTCTACCTTGCGTTCACTCCTTTCTACCTTGCATTCACTCCTTTCTACCTTGCGTTCACTCCTTTCTACCTTGCGTTCACTCCTTTCTACCTTGCGTTCACTCCTTTCTACCTTGCGTTCACTCCTTTCTACCTTGCGTTCACTCCTTTCTACCTTGCGTTCACTCCTTTCTACCTTGCGTTCACTCCTTTCTACCTTGCGTTCACTCCTTTCTACCTTGCGTTCACTCCTTTCTACCTTGCGTTCACTCCTCTCCTTTGTACCTTGCGTTCACTCCTTTCTATCTTGCGTTCACTCCTTTCTACCTTGCGTTCACTCCTTTCTACCTTGCGTTCACTCCTTTCTACCTTGCGTTCACTCCTCTCCTTTCTACCTTGCGTTCACTCCTTTCTATCTTGCGTTCACTCCTTTCTACCTTGCGTTCACTCCTTTCTACCTTGCGTTCACTCCTTTCTACCTTGCGTTCACTCCTTTCTACCTTGCGTTCACTCCTTTCTACCTTGCCCTTCTCTCCCCGCCAAACTCCCCTTCCTTACCTGCGAGACATCCCCTTCTGGCTTCAACCCAAAACAGCCCCTTTCCAGCTCGTTCGTACGCGAGCCAGCTTTCCCTGCTCTAACTCCCTTGTGGTACCTTCTTCTTCCCCCCATCAGAGCTGGGCCCATACAAGGCGGCCTACTCGCTCAACGGGCGCAGCCTGCTGCTGGGGGGGCGCAAGGGGCACCTCGCTGTCGTGGACTGGCGGCGCTGCCACGTCACCACCGAGATCCAGGTGAGGAGCGTCTGAGGGGCATGTGAGAGGGAACGTGTGAGGGGACGTTTGTGGGGATGTGCGTGGGACGTGTGTGCGTGGGACGTGTGTGCTTGGGGACGTGTGTGCGTGGGGACGTGTGTGGGAATGTGTGTGGGCGAGGGAGGGGCAAGTGAGGGGCGGGCAAGTGTGGCTGCGTCAACTTGCCCTCTCGTTTCCTCTCCCAGAGGGTGTCTAGCTTCATCTCGTTTCTGTGTTTTTCTCCCACCATCACTAGCTCTGCTCTGTCCTTGTATGCTCCCTTCCGCTCTCCTTGCTTGGTTTGTCTCTGTGTATATGGTCCTGTGTGCACATGATTGTGTGGATGGGTGTGTGTGCATATGCCTGTTTGGGCATGTGCCTCTTTGTGCATGTGTGTGTGTGTGTGTGTGCATCGGTATGTGTGTGCATGTTGCTTTGCGACCCACCAGGTGCGGGAGACGGTGCACGATGTGTGCTTTCTCCACAACGAGCAGTTCTTTGCCGCCGCGCAGAAGAGGTGAGCAAAGGCCGCCTGCACGCCACAACGCTGTCTTCCGCTCGTGTGGTACATGTAAACGCGCATGTATCGTTTGCCGCCGCGCTCACGAGGTGAGCTCCTCCGTGCGTGCCTTGCCAATAACCATGTTTCCACACCACACCATGTTCATACTGCTGTACCATGCTCCTCAAGCGTTTCCTCCCATCCCCATCCAATCTGTGTTCTCTTCCCCCGGCCCCCTCCTCCCACCTCTCCCTTCCCGTCACCCCTCCCCCCTCGCCCCTCGCCCCTAACCCCAGGTACACGTTCATTTACGACAAGAGGGGAATCGAGCTGCATTGCCTCAAGGTCCGTTGTCGTGTTCTAACCTTCCATTTTTCATGCTTCGCTCGCCGCCATCGCTCCCCCCACTCCTCCCTTGCTCCTCTTACGCTTCTTCACCCCCCATGCCCTTACCCACGTCGTGAGGCCTCTTGCCGTCCCATGGCAGCACTGCACCACCACCCCTTGCTCATTGGCTCACATGCTCCTCTTCCCTCCTCTTCCCTCTTCCCTCCTCTTCCTTAATCTTCCCTCCTCTTCTCTCCTCTTTCCCACCTCTTCCATCATCTTCCCACCTCTTTCCTCCTCTTCCTTCCTCTTCTCTCTTCTTCCCTCCCTTCCCTCCTCTTCTCTCCTCTTCCCTCGCACCCTCCTCCTCCCTCCTCTTTCTTCCTCTTCCCTCATCTTCCCTCGTCCCTCCTCTTCCCACCACTTCCCTCCTCTTTCCTCCTCCATGTTCTCCCACCCCCCGCAGAACATCACGGGCAGCGGGGCGCTGCGTCTGCAGTACCTGCCGCACCACATGCTGCTGGCGTCCATCTCCAAGGGCGGGGTTCTGGACTACGTGGACACCACCACGGGCCGCCACGTGGCGCAGTGCAAGACGCGCAAGGGGCGCTGCGACGCCATCACAGCCGACAGCCGCACGGGCGTGATCTCCCTGGGCCACAGCAACGGCACCGTCTCCCTCTGGAGCCCTTCCATGGGGACTCCCCTCGCCACACTGCTCGCGCACCACGCGCCGCTCACGGCCATTGCGAGTGATGCGTCGTCTGGGAGGTACCTGGTGACGGCGGGCATGGAGGGGCGCGTGCGCGTGTGGGACGTGCGCACGCTGCGCGAGCTGCACTCGTACGTCTTGCCCACGCCAGCGAGGACGGTCGCGCTGAGTCAGCGCGACATGCTGGCGGTGGGGTTCGGGTCAGCGGTGGAGGTGTGGAAGGAGGCGCTGACAGCGAAGCAGCACACGCCGTACCTGAAGCTCAGGATTCAGTCGAGCGGGGCAAACAGGAACACAAGGAGTGGTGGTGGAGGAGGGGCGGCAGCGACTTTCGCCGGAACCACAGCAGCAGCAGCAGTGGAGAGACTTTCCTTCTGCCCGTACGAGGACGTTTTGGGCACTGGGCACGCGGAAGGGTTCTCTTCGCTGCTTGTGCCCGGGGCAGGCGAGGCGAACTTTGACTCGTTTGTGGCGAACCCGTTTGAGACGGGGAAGCAGCGGCGCGAGGCGGAGATCCACATGCTGCTGGACAAGCTGCCGCCCGAATCCATCATGCGCGACCCCGACCGCATCGGCACCCTCCTCCGCCCCCACGACCGCCAGCGCACTCTCACCAATGCGCTCGTCTCCAAGGCTAACGCCGCGGCTCGGGCAAAGAGCCTCGGGAAGAGCCCTGGGGGGGAAAGGAAGGGAGGGGGGAAGGAGGGTGGGGAAGGTGCTGGTGGTGGGGGAGGGGGAGGGGGAGGGGGAGGGGAGGAGGAGGGGGATGAGGAGGATGAGGAGGAGGGTGAGGAGGAGGGGAAGGATGGGGCGAAGCGGCCTCGGGAGAAGAACAAGACCAAGGGGCGGAACAAGCCGTCGAAGCGAGCCAAGAAGAGGAAGATGAACATTATTGAGAGCAAGAGGGAAGCCACTCGGAGAGACGTGCGTGCCAAGGAGGGGGGAGGGGGAGGGGCGGGCGGAGGAGGGGAGGAAGGGAAGTCGGCAGTGCCGCTTGCTCTGGCTCGGTTCCAACGGAAAGGAGCACGTGAAGGGGTAGCATGACAAGGGGGGCATGACTGAAGAGCAGTACACCACCAGGGGAGGCGGGACCAGTATTTGCTGACTCTTCTGATTTTGTTTCAGAAACTGTTAGCATGAACTTAAATGCTTTAGAGAAAAAAATGTGGTATTACAAAAGTGGCAGTGTTCTTTGCTATGCAACTGCTTTGTAATGGTAGCGCTCAGTACATGGCCATTCCCATCAGCAGTTTACAGGATGCCACCGAAACGCATTGTCTCCAGTGAAACCACGCTATCCTAGCAGCAACTGAACATGTACTGAATGCGAGCACTTCATCTGTCAGGACACATACAGCCCATACATGTATCCAATGTCATCAGCAAGACACCCTTCAGTGGTCAGTTTGTCACACCTTGAAATATTCAGGCTATGCAGCATCTGCAGCTGGGTGAACGTCAGGCAGCGACTCGAGGTGCTTGCAGGATTCCAGGTCAAGAGCCTTGAGGCGGCTCATATGGGCGAAGTGGCAGGGCAGAGAGCGCACGGGGGTGTAGCCAAGGCTAAGCTTGTGGAGGCAGGAGAGGCGGGTGAGGGAGGAAGGGAGGCGTGTGAGCGATGTGCAGTGGGCCAGATTCAGCTGGCGCAGCCGGGACAAGGCGCCAATGCCATCTGGAAGCGAAGCCAGCTTGGGTGCATGCACTTCCAGGGAGGTCAGCCAGTGCAGCTGGGTGAGAGTGTCTGGCAGCCCTCTCAGTTCCGCAGCCTGCTCTACGCGCAGCTGCCTCAGCTGCTGCAAGGCCGATCCAAAATCATCCGGAAGTGCCTTCATGCGTGCAGCACTTCAAATGGTCAGTGTGCGGAGGTAAGGGCAGAACGCCAGGGAGAGTGGGAGCTCCTCTGCCTCACCTGCCAGAGCCAGCTCCAAGTGCTTAAGGGAGGTCAAACTCACGGTAGCCACCAACCCACGCACCAGGGCAACACCAGTCAAGCTCATATGCCTGAGCCTAGGCAGTGCAGGAAGCTCTATGAGAGGGGTGAGCCGCTGGACGCTGCCCAAGCTGAGCGTCTCAAGCAACGGTGGCAGGGATTTGGAGACCTCTGGCAGCTGAGTACACTTGCCGATGGCCAACTCTCTCAGCCTTGCAAGGCCGCTCAAACTCCCGGGAATGGAAGAGAGCCTGCTGCAGCCGTCAACTCTAAAAAAACCTCAAGGCTTGCAAGGCTAGTAATAGTTTCTGGAAGCTTCTGGATCTTAGGGCATGCCCGGATGCTTAGCTCGCGTAAGTTACTCAGCCACCCCACGCCCTCTGGAAGCTCCTCTAATATGCCACACTGGGTGAGCTCGAGCCTTGTCAGTGACTTGAGCTGCGTGAACGAGCACGGCAGCAGCTCTTGTACGTGATTTAGAGTCACTCGGAGAGTGTGAAGGTCGGTGAGCCCTCCTATGTCTTCCGGAAGACCCAGCTTTGGCGAGTTGGCGATGCAGAGGGACTTGAGTGCATGGAGGCTGCCGAACCTTGCAGGCAACGCCGCCATTGAACGGCAGTCAACCAGATTCAAGACCTCCAGCATTGAGAGCTGAGAGAAAGAGTCCGGCAGACCTGAGATGAGCACTTGCTGCATCGACAACTCTCTCAAAACGGGCAGCCTTCCAAATCTTTCAGGTAGGCTGACCACGTTGACCTCGGAGATTGTCAGCTTCAGGAGGCAGCTGAGGGAAGAGAAGTGATGAGGCAGCTCGGATAGATCAGGGGAGGCGCAGATGATCAACTCCCGAAGGCGTGGCAGCCGCTTTCCGATGTCGTCAGGGAGGCGCTCGAGCTTGTCAGAGCAGCTGAGAAGCAGCCGCTCGAGACGGCTGCACGAAACTCCTCGCGGAAACAGCAGGTCGAACCGTGGAGTGCTGTAGTTGAATTCCAGCGACTCAAGGAAAGGTATGTGGGCGAACGAGACGGGATACGCGTCCTCGCCTTCGAGAACGAGCTCCGTTTCGCCGCACAGAGAGAGGTTGGCGAACGCTGGCAGGTGCTCGAGGCTGGAGAGATCCAGCTCCTCCTGGTCCGACATGTCCACGGAGAGCGTGGCGAGAGACGATAGGTGCGTGAATCCCGGCGCTTCAAGTGCTGCGCCTCTTAGTTTGGGTATAGCCTCCGGCTAGCGTTGAAGGTAGTAAATGCTTGGAGAGAATTTCTGGGTTTTCAGGACTGATTTCACTCAAAACAGAGAAGTACAAAAAACTGATTGAAAAAACAAACACATTTAAGCATTTCGAAATGTGATGTGCGCCTCACGTAACGCGTCATCCGCGTTTCAGCCCGAGTCGCATGCGTAACTGAATTCGGTAACCGTCACCGGAACCAAAACCCGTTTGTCCCTTCCGCACCGAACACGGTTCGGTTTCGGTTGGACATTCTAGGCTTCGGAAATGTCTTCTCGACATTTCTCGAACCCTTGTCTTCCGTCATTCCGTTTCTCTCCGCTTTCTTCACGTTTTCCTTCTTAGCTTCCTAGCATGCAGCCCCACCGCTCTAGGTACCGGTTCCCCATATTAGGTGATAGTTTCCCACCGTTCCTAGTGTTGTTCTACGGTCCCTAGGTTAGGCGCGTAAGCCGGTAGGCACTAGGGCAGTGGCGAACCACCCTAACAATCTCCCCTGTGGTTTGCCAGCTGCCATCCTCCTATGCTCCCATGGTTACCATGTAACCAGCCTTCTTCTTTCCTTGCTGATCCCGTCCGTAGGATGGTGTAGCATCTCGGGTTGCTGCTCCGCTGCTCCCCTGCAAGTCATGAAAGGTACGTATGCCGACAAAATGCTTGCAATACTCGAAGTTCACTTTTGGTAGTACCTTAGTCAGGAAATCCGCTGGCTGCTCCTGTGTTCCCACGTGCACGAAGGTGAATACCTTCTTCTGTAGCTGCTCCCGTACCCAATGGTACCTCACGTTCATATGTTTAGTGCGCCCATGCCAGTTGTCGTTTCGTGCAAGGTCAATCGCTGATTTGCTGTCCGATTTGATCGTTGTGGGTCTTTCAACTTTGACCCCCATCTCTTGAAGTAGGCGCCTCAGCCACACACCCTCTTGGCATGCATAAAACAGCGCCATGTATTCGGATTCTGCGGTGGACAGAGCGACATCGGTGAGTTTCTTGGCTTGCCATATGATTGCCGTTCCACCAAGGAGGTAGACATAGCCATAGGCTCCCCTCCCATCCTTCTTGTCTGATCCATGTGAGGCGTCAGCATACCCCACTAGCTCTAGACTCTCCTCTCCTCCTTCAAACAAAAGCCCCTCATCATCCCGCTGCAGAAGGTAAGTGATAGTCCGCTCCATCTCCTTCCACTTGTGTCCCTCTGGCTGCAACACCCTCTGCCCAAGAAAACTTGCAGCGTAGGCCACATCAACCCGTGTGCATGACATTGGGTACATGACTGAGCCTACCATGGATTGGTAAGCTTTGAGCGCTTTCTCCTTGCTACCCCATGCCTCAATTTCTGCTCCCACATCGACCTCCTTATCCGCAAGGCTGCTGAGAGGTGCTGTCACTGGTTTGGTCTTGCATTGCCCTCCAAACCTCTCCCGCAACTTTTGAAAGTACTTCTTCTGGTATAGCAGCAACTTCTTCTCGTCCTTGTTCCTCTCTAGGTTCATTCCAAGGAAGAGAGTGGTCCTTGGAATCTTCTTCACCTGAAATACAGCTGTGAAGTGAGTGCACACCTCCTCCACCTTCTCTTCCTTTGCTCAAGCCACTAGGATATCATCCATGTAGAGGAGTAGGAACACCTTGTTCTCCCCCTCTCCCTTCCAGTAGAATGCACGGTCACATTGACTCTTGATGAACCCTCCTTTTTCCAGCTGCGCCTCCATAGCTAGGTACCACTCCCGTGGGCTTTGTTTCAACCCATAAAGTGCTTTGATGAGTTTGCACTTTCTGTCTGTGCCGTCCTCACACCCCGGTGGCTGATTCATGTAGATAGTCTCCTTCAAAATGCCATAGAGAAAGGCATTTTTTATGTCCAGCTGCACCATGAAGTACCCGCGTGCCGTCACCACCTTAAGCATGGTCCTTGCCGTTGTTAACTTGCTAACGGGTGCGTAGAGTTGGTCGTAGTCCTCTCCTTCCACTTGAGTGTAGCCTTTAGCCACAAGACGTGCCTTGAAGCGTTCAAGTTGCCCCATGTCTCCCGTTTTTATCTTGAAAATCCAGCGCACTCCCACTGCTTTCCTCCCTTCCGGCATGTTCACAAGCTCCCATGTCCCCCTTTCAGCCAAGGTATCAAGTTCCTCCTGTATTGCAGCCATCCACTGCTCCTTGTTTGGCCTGGTCAGCGCCTCTTCAATGGTAAGAGGCTCGGTGGGCAGCTTGTAGCTTTCCACCTTCCCCTTTGATAGTAATGCCGTTGCCGTGGTGGTAAGGAGGAGGTGGGTGTGAATGTCCTTGCAGCAGGTCAGAAGCATTTGGGCATACTTAGGATTGGGTTTCTTGACTCGTTTCCCTTTCCCCATCTCCTGATTCTCATTTTCAGCTCCACTTTTCTCTGCTGCTGCATTATCATCCGCTCCTTGTTGCACGAAATCTCCTTCAATCTCCCTTCCAATGACGATCGCACCGTCTGAAAGTAGGTCTTCAATCTCTACTGCCACCTTTTCATTGTCCCCCGTGTCAATGATTCGCCATGGGTCGGAGCAGCCCGTGCTAGCAGATTCAGCCACACTCTCCTCCACATCAGAAAATTCAGCTTCTTCCTCACCGGCTTCATTCGTTGAGTTGTCACTCGCTTCTTCTCCCTTATCATTGTCTTCTTCACTCTCTTCCACAGCAGTTGAAGGTGAGGACAACTCCTGGACCTCCCATACCCAATCGAAATCCGGCGTAGTGTGGTCTTCCTAGTCGTCATTGTCACCGCTTCCATTGGCTGCCCCTATCCCCTCCTCACTCCCATCTATCATCTCCTCCAGTGGAGTTGGTGCTCCTGTCGCTTCCTTTGCAACAGCTCCTTGTTTCCGTCCCTTCCACTCCAAGTAGGTGTCTTGCTCGTAGAAGGTAACATCTCTGGTCGCCGTGACTTTTCCGGTCTCCACATCGCGTATCACCCACCCTTTGCTCTCCGGGCAGATTCCCAAGTGAATCCCCCACTTGGTCCTTGGGAGAAGCTTATGGTCGGGTCTCGTCGCCTATAGGTATTGCGTCATGCAGCCCCAAACGCGTAAGAACTCCAGATTCGGCTTCCTCTTGTAGAACGCCTCGTGAGGGGTAACGTCCGCCGCTAGTCCCTTTGTCGGTAGCCAGTTTTTCAGCCAACATGCCATGCCTAGTGCATCTCCCCAGTAGTGAAGGGGCAGGTTGCTATCCGCGAGCAAGCTCCTCACGCCCTCCAGCACTGATCGGTTCACCTGCTCCGCAATGCTATTGTGTTGAGGAGTGTAGGGGACCATGAGCTGCCTTCGAATGCCCTTTGATTTCAGGTACGTGTTGAACTCGGCGTTCACGAATTCTCCCCCGTTGTCCGTGCGTAACACCTTCAGCTTCTTGCCGCTTTGCCTTTCTGCTTCCGCTTGCCAGTCAAGAAAGCTCGTGAGGACTTCCAACTTGTTCTTGATCTCAGTCACCCACGTGTGTCGTGTGCCAAGGTCGGTGAAGGTAACGAAATTCTTGCTGCCATGTCGTGAAGCCACCCGCATCGGTCCACATACGTCGGCTGCCACAATGGCAATCGTCTCGTATGGCTCACGGACTCCATGCTTGGGATGTGGTGCCTTTGTCGCCTTTGCCTCCACGCATGTGCTGCACTTCAGTTTTTCCTCTCCACCCTCAAGTACCTTCACTCCCGCTGCCATGTTCTTCTTGATCAACTCCTTGATTCGATAATGACCAGCGTGTCCCATCCTCCTATGCAGAAGGTTGACGTCCACCGTACTCACTGCTGCTGCCATAGGAAGCGCCTGCTGCTGCAACTCCTTGATCGGCACCCTTTCGAACTTGGTGCGGAGCTCATCTCGTGCCACCTTACCCGCTTCCGGTTCAGCCAGGTACGTGACCTTGTCCCCACTCTGTTTCTCGCGCAGCTTCATCTCGTACAGCCCTTGCTTGCGTGATCCCTCCGCTATCACCTTCCAATCCGCTCCAAAGACCCATATGCTCCCCTTGTCGCTGAAAGTTTTGCATCCACCACTATCCAGCTACGATTGGCTAATGAGGTTGAGCATGAGCTTGTCCACCAGCAGCACGTTGTCTAGCTTCACCTCACCATAAGCACTTTGCAGCACTAGGTCTCCTTCCCCTTTCACAGGAAGTTTCCCCTCGTCTCCCAACAGCACATACGGTATCGGTGATGCTCTGAAATTTTTCAGCCACTCCTTCTGGTTCGTCATGTGTTGGGTGTCAGAACATATCTATAGCTTATACTATTGTGTAGGCTGTAGTGGGGTATCCCATAGGGGGTACAACCCAGTTAGGGTTTCATATTTGTACTGCCTTCATTCATAGTTCACACATTCCTGTTCACTTATTTCACATGGTATAGAGCGGGTCCTTCCTAAGGACCGGTTTTTTTAGGGCCCACCGAAGCGCGCCCCGAGGCGCGCATTTTTTTTAGCGACCCCTCGGGTCGCCATTTCCCTCGCGGCCCCGCTGCCCCTCCTGATCGCGGCCCTGCCGCCTGCTTGACGCGGCCCCGCCGCCTCCACTGACGCGGCCCCGCCGCCTCGACTGACGCGGCCCCGCCGCCTCCACTGACGCGGCCCCGCCGCCGGCTCTGACGCGGCCCTGCCGCCCGCTTCGACGCGGCCCCGCCGCCTGCTTGACGCGGCCCCGCTGCCTCCACTGACGCGGCCCCGCCGCCGGCTCTGACGCGGCCCTGCCGACCCGCCGCTGCACCTGACGGCCCGCCGCTGCACCCTACGGCCCGCCGCTGCACCCTACGGCCCGCCGCCTCACTTGACGGCCCTGCCGCTGCGCCTGCCGGCCCGCCGCTGCACCCTACGGCCCGCCGCTGCACCCAGCGGCCCGCCGCTTCACCTGACGGCCCCGCCGCTGCACCTACCTGCCCGCCGCTGCACCCTACGGCCCCGCCGCTGCACCTGCCGACTCGCCGCTGCACCGGTCGACCCGCCGCTGCACCTGCCGGCCCGCCGCTGCACCTGCCGGCCCGCCGCTGCACCTGACGGCCCCGTCCCTGCATCTACCGGCCGAGCCGCCCCAGCAGCAGAGCCGCCCCAGCAGCCGAGCCGCCCCAGCCGCCGAGCCGCCCCAGCAGCCGAACCGCCCCAGCAGCCGAGCCGCCCCAGCAGCCGAGCCGCCCCAGCAGCCGAGCCGCCCCAGCTGCAGTGCCGCCCGAGCCGCCCGAGCCGCCCGAGCCGCCCGAGCCGCCCAGCAGTCGAGCCGCCCGAGCCGCCCGAGCCCTCCCTGCACTGCCCTGTCTGGTGAGCACTGAGCTTTACTCTGCGCACTGCCCTCTCTCTACTGCTGTCATGGCTACCCCCAGTGTCCTCGCCTTTGACGCTGAGGGCACAGCCATTGACTTTGACGTGTGGGTAGACGACCTACTGCTTTTCCTACAGTGCGACAGAGCTGACGGACTCTCTCTCTTTGATCTCACTTCTGGTGCCTCTCCCGCCCCTGCTGCTACTGAGGATGCCACTGTTCGCTCCGTGTGGGCCACACGCGATGCTGCTGCACGTCTTGCTGTGCGTCGCCACCTCCCTCCCGCTGAGCGTGCGCACTTTGGGTCGTACAAGAGTGCTAAGACCTTGTACGACGCCGTTATCGCACGCTACTCCACCCCTGCCACTGCTGCACTGAGCCGCCTCATGCTACCGTACCTCTTTCCCGACCTTGCTGCTTTTGCCACAGTCGCCGACCTCATTACCCACCTGCGCACTAGTGACGCTCGCTTCCGCGCTGCACTTCCTGCTGAGTTCTGCGCCAAGAACCCCCCCCCCCCAGTACTTCACTCTCTACTACATTGTCACCCGCCTCCCTGACTCCCTTCGCGGAATCAGGGACGACCTACTCGCAGTCTGCCCCACCACTCTCACTGTCGAGATCCTGGAGAAGTCCCTCCTCGTAGCCGAGAAGAGCATTCTCGCTGTAGGGGCCTCTCGTGGTGACCCGCGCACCCCCATCTTTGAGGGGTGTTCCCCCTCCCCCCTCCTGCCCTCTGTCGCCTCTGCTGCTACGGCCGACCTGGTTGGTTTTGAGTCGGTCGGAGCGGCGTCTGCCCCCAGCGGGAGACGTCGCTCTGGCAAGAGCAAGGGGGGCAGGGGCGGTGGTGGAGGCGGCGGGGGCGGTGGAGGCGGAGGTAGAGGCAGCGGCGGAGGTGAGGGTGGTAGCGGGAGTAGTGGCGGGAGTGGAGGTGTCGGCGGAGGCAGTGGAGGCGGGGGCGGCAGCGGCGGTGGTAGTGGGGGTGGAGGCGGAGGCGGCGGTGGCGGCGGCGACGGTGGGAGTGGCGGTGGCGGTGGAGGTGGTGGCGGCGGCGGCGGAGGAGGCGGCGGAGGAGGCGGCGGAGGTCGTGGCGCGCCGAGGAGGAGTGGCTCCGGTGGTGGTCAGCGCCAGCAGCAGCAGCGTGGTCAAGAGACCCTCTCCCCGCAGCAGCTCCGTGAGTGGTACTCTGCGCGTCAGCGGGGTGGGGGTACTGGTCCGTGCACTTACGTCCTGCGCACTGGCGACCGTTCGGGTGAGCAGTGTGGTGGTCCACACTCCGCCCAGCGTTGCTTCGGCCGCCTGACTGACGCTTGGCGCCGCCAGTTTCCTGACGCCTCTGAGATCCCTCGCTGGGACCAGCTGTCTAGGGCTGGAGTAGCTATCTTTGATCTTGACTTTGATGCTATTCTTGCTGCTATGTATGCTGTGACTATTAGTGAGGGGAGTGACTGTTACCGGTGTTTCCCGCCCGACCCGGGCATTGGTACTGCGGCTCTAGGTGCTGTTGAGGCTGCTGCTCCAGGTGCTGGTGAGGCTGTTGCTCTAGGTGCCAGTGAGTCTGAGTCCTCAGGTGCTATTGAGTCTGCTCTCTCAGGTACTGTGTCGACTTCACCCTCTCTCACTTTCACTCTTGACTCCGGGGCGTCTCGCTCCTTCTTTCGAGACCGCACCACACTCACGCCGCTTAGTCGGCCAGTGGCGGTCTCCTTGGAAGACCCCTCCGGGGGTCCTGTTGTGGCTCGCTACTCCACCGTCCTGCCGTGCCCTGCGGTCCCGTCTGGCGCCCTGTCCGGTCTCTACCTCCCCTCGTTCTCTACAAACTTGGTGGCGGGTGCTGACCTACAGGATGCAGGGGTTGACCAGTTCACCCCTGTGCGCCGACGAGTCACCCACTGCACGGACGCGGACACGGGACGACACCTGACCACATTCACACGTGGTCCAGGGTCGAGCCTGTACACACTCACTGTTCCGTCTCCTTCTCCTGCGTCTGGTCAGGTAGCTGCGTCGGGTCAGGTGTTTGCTGCAGCATCCAGGTCTGTTCCTGAGTCTGCCCCCTGCTCGTGTTGCCTCCTGTCCCACGAGACCCTCCTGTGGCACCACAGGATGGGTCACCCCTCCCTGCCTCGTCTCCGGGGCATGGCCTCTCGCCTTCTTGTCTCTGGCCTTCCCCGGTCCCTCCCTCCCCTTCCTCCGGGGCCTGGCCCTCCCTGTGTCCCCTGTGTCGAGGGTCGCCTGCGGGCTACCCCTCACTCCTCCCCGTTCCCTCCGACGGAGGCCCCGATGCAGACGCTTCACATGGACGTGTGGGGCCCAGCCCGCGTCCGTGGACAGGATCACGAGCGCTACTTCCTGCTGGTGGTTGACGACTACTCGCGTTACACCACAGTCTTCCCCTTGCGCAGCAAGGGTGAGGTCACTGAGGTGTTGATCGACTGGATCCGCGCAGCTCGTCTCCAGCTCAGGCGGAGCTTCGGCTCGGACTTTCCTGTTCTGCGTCTGCATTCGGACAGAGGCGGAGAGTTCTCCTCCGGCCTTCTGCGAGCCTACTGTCGGGCACGAGGCATCCGCCAGACCTTCACGCTTCCGGACTCTCCACAGCAGAATGGGATTGCTGAGCGCCGCATCGGCATTGTCATGGACGTCGCCCGTACGTCCATGGTGCATGCGGCTGCCCCCCATTTTCTGTGGCCGTTTGCGGTTCGGTACGCCGCGCATCAGATCAACCTTCAGCCCAGAGTCTCCCGACCGGAGACCTCCCCAGCTTTGCTGTGGACGGGGAAGGTTGGCGATGCGTCTGCGTTCCGTGTCTGGGGATCTCGGGCGTTTGTCCGCAACTTGTCTGCGAACAAGCTGTCCCCTCGTGCTGCTCCCTGTGTCTTCCTTGGCTTCCCCACAGACGCTCCCGGGTGGCAGTTTTACCACCCCTCCTCTCGTAGTGTTCTGTCCTCCCAGGACGTCACGTTGGACGAGTCACTCCCCTTCTACCGCCTCTTCCCCTACCGCACTCCTTCCCTCCCCCCTCCGCCGGACTTCCTTGTGCCAGTTCCCCCCCCGGTAGACCCCCTCCCCCCTCAGGTTCCTGCCCCCTCAGGTGTGTCCCAGGTAGACGCTGTTGACCCGGTCGAGGTTACTGGTGACTCTGGTGCTGCTGCGGGTGCTGAGCCTGGGGGTGCTGACTCTGGGGGTGCTGTGCGCGGTGGTGCTGAGCCTGGAGGTGCTGCTACTGGGGGTGCTGAGCCTGGGGGTGCTGTGCCTGGGAGTGCTATTGCGGAGGGTGCTGAGCCTGGGGGTGCTGAGCTGGGGGGTATGGTGCCTGGAGCTGCTGAGCTAGGGGGTGCTGGGTCTGGGGGTGCTAGGTCGGGAGCTGCTGAGCCTGGGGGTACTGAGTCTGGAGCTGCTGAGCCTGGGGGTGCTACGTCTGGAGCTGTTGAGCCTGGGGTTTCTCCTGCTGCTGCGTCTCGCCGGGAGCCCCTCTCTCCACAGGAGCTGCGCGAGTGGTTTGCTCGCCGCTGGAGGCGTGCTGCTGGAGCTGGAGCTTCTTCGACCGTCGAGGGTGCTGGTGCTGCCGGTCCCGGAGCTGCTGGGTCTGCGGGTACTCCTGGAGCAGGAGCTCCTGATGGTGTTGGTGCTGAGACTACTGCTGTCT